AGAGTACAGAATTAGAATGGTTTCCCAGCTTCCTGATATGAATATTCTCAAACAGGCAGGAAAATATTTTTTCTAAATTAGACTCATAGTCATTCATGTCTAGATCACCTGCCAAATGGATGACTTTAATGTGCTTTACATTGTACTGTCCTTGAAAAACATCTGGAAACAGCAGAAGGGTAGAGTGACTAGGTGCATTCCTCAATCTGTGCATGTTATACCTCTGCTCTGCAAACTACATTGGTCATCAGGAAATTTTCATGTTTAATTCAAGGTGTTATTAGTTACTTATAAAGAGTTTCAGGAAATGGTGTCTTGAAGCTTGTTGATACCAAGTCATGACAGCTGACTGTTAAATTTTTCAGGAATTTTGAAAACTGATTGAGAGCAGAGCTGATCTAGCACGTTGATCTGATGTTCTGCATAGCAGTGCTTTCATGTCATGGGGCCTGGTTATTTGAGCCTCTCCCAGAATATGTCTATCCTTCCTATTAGGTCTGGCAGGAGAGGCATACTCTGTATCCATTTGTTACAATTGCCTTTTTGTCAGAGTGCCCATAGGCTTTAGAACATATCCTCTGGGTATTAGTTTGCTCCTCCCCTGGCTGACTTTTAAGGCACCAAGCTTGGTGCTATGGCCTTGTGGCAAAGACTGTGCAATAATTCTGTTGATTTGTTGCCAATTGTTTTGGGATGCTTGTCACTTCAGCTGCTATATATGCATTATTTCTATGGATATTTATTGCTTTATGGTATTTTAAATTACCGTAAGCTGTTAGCTGTCCAAAATTATGAATCAGAAAAGGCGAAGGGAATAAATGAATGAATACTTGATTACTAGAGAACAGGGAATAAATCCCTCTCTTTCCTCTTCTTGATTTTTGGAAGCAGTGGTTTTTTGCTGCCACTATTGCTATGAACTTTTTGTATCAATTGCTTCTGGCAGTTTCCTATTGTTTGTTATAGCTCCTGATCCACTTTTCTTTAGTGACTTGATTTATCAGTTCTTATCCATTCTTCAGATTTCTCTTATACTACTGACCAATCTGATCATTGATTCACTTTGTTTTAGCTTTGATCACATATAATATATAGAATGTGAAGTGCTGCTATTGGTAGTATGCAATCAGAACAATAATATTTGATATTCCAAATACTATTCTGTCTGATTAGATCTGACTACCAACTGGGCAGACATTAAATTCTGCAACTGTCATGATCTGAGGTATGGGATAGCAGAGCTAATGAAGTTCATGGGGGATGTTAATTGGCTTTTAACAAGTGTACAAGTAAATCACTGGTAGAAGAAGAAGAAGAAGAAGAAGAAGAAGAAGAAGAAGAAGAAGAAG